AATTAAGGTACCCTACTTTGAACATGGGTGTGCACGCCATCTGGCTACCCAAAAGCGGCAATTACTTCAGGTAAATGAACATTTCGCCTAATTCTAAGCAAGTGTGTTCTCCTATAGGAGACGATGACATAAATACATGCCCCTTTTTATCTGCATGCTGCAAATCTACTTGGAAAAGAGTAAGTATATGTTCTGACTAAAGGTGATAATTTATCGTATGTGTGAAAACACCTTAATTTTAGGGTAACTTGCTATTTTTCAGTATTCAACAAGTGACAGGCTTTCTCCTAGCTGACTTTATAAGTAAGAATGGAAGATATACCCATGATTAAGGAATCTTGGGTTTCATTGAGAAGTTTGTCTACTGTGTGGGTAACTCAATCTTCACTGTAGAACAGACTGCAGCGCTTTTCAACATGTAGTGGAGGATAAAATTTTCTGGGTCAAAGGTACACAGCACAGCACACAGGCTAATCCTCCCTCGCCGAAGATCTTTCTTACAGCTGGGTCAGACTCATCACTTAGGAGTGTAAGGCGGGAGGACTAGGAGCTGCAAGCCAGTCTTGCCTTTGTCTTAAAACTCTTCCTTAAGAAAACCAATGAAAAGGAAATTCCTTCTCCTGAGTCTCTGAAAAAGGAGGAAACATGTAAGACTGATCAGATAGTTATGGGCTACTGCTTCCACCAGGCTAAGTGAAGTAAGGAAGCTGTGGGGTGGTTCTCCTAAGTATTTCGAGTTACTCAGTGTAACTCCTGTTGACAGATTAACTATTTGTTTTCATTACAGAAATTATCCTATCATTAAATGGGCAAAAATGATGATTAACTAAAGATCAAGATATACAATCATTAATCAAATAAAAATTCTAAGTTTGCATCTGTGTCCTTTTAGAAACTGGGCTTTTAATTACCAATTTACATCGCATTTTTTTTAGTACAAAATCATTATCAATAAAAGGCCATCCTTGGCTGAGTTCCTAATATTGGTCAGCTTTAAATCCTCTAGGTAGCTATAGTAACAAGAACAACAAAAACTAATGTATGGAATGTCGGTATACCCATAAAATTATTAAATTACTTTTGCCTTATCTACTCCAGACATAAATGCCAGGAAATTATAATATTCACTTTGCTGTTGGAGGTGGAAAGCAAAAACTTTCTCTAAGATCGTATCTAGAAATAAATCCATGCTGGGGTTTCCCAAACATTGAATCCCACGTTTCTATTGGAAAACATGTGGTACCAGGTTAAACTTCCAGCCAAAGTATTTACAGCTCCAGGGGAAACCGAAGGAGGGAGTCTGAATACAAACATGGACTGTGGGTACAAGAAATCCGGTGCAGGGCAAGTGGAAACATCTGGTCGTTTTGGGAGTCCTCTTAATTTGAAAGCACTGACCAAAACAAGCTGAGTTCTGCCAAATACATCTTGGCATGGCTTAAGAAAAAATACAGAATTTAGGAGGGAGCAATTTTTTTTTTCACCACAGTAAGATGCATTCGTGAGGATGTGCAACTCTAGGGACATGATGAGCGTATTTCCAAACATAACATGCAACATCTGCCTTCTATGTCTTTATTGCATATTTCATATCATTGTGGGCTTAGACATATTCTTAATCTGGACTCTGTTCTAGAGGACGTGGTGGTGAAGGGTTTGAACTACCCATGCCAGATCTTGGGTGTTAGAAACTGATTAACACTAATGATGATGTATTGACTTACCGGAAGTTGTAACCATCACCTGCCTGCTAACACGTGGAATATTCTATGTGGATTTACTTCGCAGCAATCTATAAATGATAAAACTTTTGTGCACTTCCACACTGCAAGGAAAGTTTCCCAGCCTCTCCCACCTTAACTGTTTCTGATAGTTCTCAAGCCCCTTGGTTCAGGGCTGGGCAAACCCAAGTTCAAGTTAGGGTTCTCTGATGGCAGCCTGTTTGACCTCAGGTGCCCTGTGCTGCTCTGAGTCCCTGGGTCCCAATGTTAGGAGACTCCCTGGGGGAAAGAGGAGGCTCTGCCTCATTGCTTACTCATGATGGGTCAACTAGAGGTAATGATTTCATTTATTAGTTCACTCTGATTGTTCATCTGCCCTATAGTCATTTAACTAATTGAAGTTATTTTAAACACAGTGAAAACAAGAGCCATTCATACATTCATTCAACAGGATCTGTGAAAGCTGACTACCTCAGGACACTCATTTGAACTCTGAAGGACTATATATGGCAGGCCTGACCTTGGGTGAAGCGCTTTTCAAGGCCATATTGATCAAGCCTGTCGTGGAGAGTGGGACTATTATTATCACCAAGTTAGGATTTAAAATGGGAGCTCTGGGGCCGAATTATCTGGGTCTCATTTTGTGATCTAAGTCAAACTACCACTTCGCTGAGCCTCCGTTTGCCCACCTGTAACACAGAGAGCGGGGACAGCAGCATGCACCCGGTAAGGATCTCATAAAACAGTTCCCCGGGAGAGTTTGGTGCAGCTGTCAGTCACTGCCAAGCACTGTCAACTTCGATTCTCTCCCCCAGACTTTCACCACAGCTATTAGAACTATGAAGATCTGGACACAGAAGCTGTTGGTTCTAGCGAAATCCGCCCCCCCCCACCCCCTACACACACACCTCACAAAAAACTAAGAAAATGTAATCCAGATCTAAAGTCAGCAAAGGCACTGGAGACTGGCTGCTGGCTTTCCCTCCCTTTCTGGGTGCAGTCATTTCCATTGGCAGCAGCTGAGGAACCAAATGGAGGCAGAAGCCCCTGGGGACACCACAATGCCTTAGAGGTCCCTCTCTCTGATTTTGACCATGACAACTGCAGTCCCACAGGCCAGCCCCAGTCCTGCCTTTCCCTTGAACTTCTCTTTGTGATCAAATCTCAACTTTCAATTTGGAAAAACTTTACAAAGCCAAAACTTAGGCTATGTTCTGAGTCTTCCAGGGGTACCGAGGTACTACTCATAACCAAGGCAGGTGCGCAAGGGGAGGGGGTGTGTCTGCCCTGACCTGATAGCTGGGTTGAGCTGCTACCTGCTCGAAGTTGTTGTTTTGTTTTGGTGGTAGTGGTGGTGGTTTTTTGTTTTCTTTTGTTAGCTTGTCACTTAGATAACCAGTCAGGAGGCACAAGGTCCGAACTAGAGGAAGGGGCAGCAATCATCACCTTTCGGGTATTGCTGAGTTTGTGGACTTGGCAACAGACCCCTATGGTTCCAAAGGACCATCCCATCTAACCTTGGCTCCCTTCCCCCAACCCCGGGGTTTTTGGATTTTGGAAGCCAACGGGGACCCCAGGTCACCTGCGCTCGCTCAGCAGTGCGAGCAGCCCGGCGGGGTGGGGCAGAGCGGGGCACCGCCTCCCTCCATACCTTCTCTCCCCGTGGAGCACGTAGGAGCTACGGAAGAAGCCCAGGAGTTCGTTCTCTATCAGGGCATTGTAGATAATCTTTAGGTTGTAATTCCTCTGCGCGTCCAGGGTTCTATTCAGCACCACCACCAAGACCTGGGTTGGTGGGTAGAGGAAAAAGCCTGCTACCGGGACAGCTCCGAACGCCCGGTCCTCAGCTACTTGCACCTTCTCCACCGCTACCCGGGAGGCGTGCAGCACCACGTAGCGGGTGGCGTTCCGGCACGCGATCTCCACGTTGACCTCCCCGGAGAAGGTGAAGTTCTCCATAAAGGCGGTGAGCATCAAATTGTAGTGCAGTGGTTTGAGGTGGCCGGATAGGCGCAACTGTGTCCAAGGCTGCCACTGTTCAGACTCTTCCTCCGACGGCGGCAGGGCAGACGGGGTCCCTGGGGTGTCCACCTCGCCGGTCTCGCGCTGCGAGGATTCCCCACCAGAGTGGTGGTTGCGCCGGGCGGATCCTGGGTGGCTGCCGTTGCCGCCGCCGCGCTCCGGGAAGCCCCCGGGGCCACCGTCGGAGCCCGGCACCGCCGCGCTGGCTCCACACTCGTCGAAGCGCAGGCTGAGCAGCACCGCCAGCATGGTGACCGCCAGTAGTGCCACGATGGACACGGCAAAAGCCAGCACGAGCCGCTTGTGTACCGCGATGTGGCGCTCCGTGGTGCGGGGTCTCACTCCCACCGAGTCAGCCCACGGGTCCGAGAGCCCCCTGCCGCTTGCCCGGAGCGCAGCGTCGTCTTCTCCCATGGTAGCTGCAAAGGGTGAGCAGCTCTTCTCGGCCCCCTCCTCCTCCTTCTTCTTCCTCTTCTTTTTCTTCTTCTTCTTTTTCTTCTCCTCCTCTTGCTCCCCCCTCTCGCCGTCCAGGGCCATCATCACACCGCCTCCTCCTCTTCCCCCGCCCCCTCCGACACCCCCAGCGGGCGGGCCACCCGGGCCACCGCCAGCGCAGTCATCGGAGAGCGCACGCGGGCGGAGGGCGCAACGCCGGCTGGGACCCTAGGGAGGCCAGCCCGGGTTCTCTAGAGACAAGCTCTGGTGGCTGGCGATGGCCGCGACGACCCCCAGCAGCCCCGCCTCTCTCCGGACACCAGCTGCGAACCGCGGGGCAACCAGCTCTGGGACGCGCCCAACTTGGGGAGCTTGTCGCTCGCAGGGTGCGCGCTACTCGTCGGGCTGGCACTGGGCGCTCGGGCACAGGCTGCCCCCGCCCCTGTGCGCCTGCGGCTCGTGCGTCCTCCCGGGCGCCGCACTCTCCCAGGCTGGTTGCGGCAGCTCTCGCACCCGTCCTCGGCCCGGAGGACGGAGAGTCTTAGGGAGAGCGGCCGAGCAGGCAGGCAAGTTGGGGTTTCGCCCAGCTCCGGGCACTCCGGCAGTGTTCGATCTTCTGGGTGGGATGTGCTCGCAAAGACAGTTGCGGCGGTTGCAGCCCAGGAGGAGCCTGAGCCTTCCACCCCGCAGCGGGAGAGAAGAGGATGGAACAGAGGACCGAGGGAAAGACTGGAGTGAGCCAGCTGGAGGAAGTCCCACGGCCGCGGAGCATCCGTCCTGGAGAAGCCTTCTCCACCCTGGACACTTTAAGCGGCGGCGGCGGTAAAAGGCGTGAGGTTGCAGACTGGACAGAGAGCCTCCCGCGTTCCGATATGCCTGTGCCCTCTGGAGAAGACAAGTGAAGAAGTGTCCCGCCGGGGCATCCACTTCAGGTAGATAAAGGTCTCGGCTGCGTCCCCGGGGGGAGAACCGAAGTGCGTGTGTGCCAGCGCGTGTGCATGTGTGCGCGCGTGTGTGCGCGCGTGTACGTGTATGTGTGTGTACACGGGTTCCGGGTCTAGATTGCCAAGGCTACTCCAGCTGCATTCAGGGACTGAAACTCTCTGAGAAAGGAGAGAGCGACTGAGGGAACAAGCGAGAAGGCTGGGAAAGAGGGAGGGAGGGGAGAGGTTGAGCGGCAGAGGCAGGCGCTGGGAGATTAGAGAGCTTTTCTCCGCTCTGTCACACCAGACACCCACAGCCACAGACAGGGCTGCTGAGCTGCCTGCAAGAGTACATTGTAAATCTTCAGCGCAACAAGCCCAGCAGTCACCCCTCTTCCGACTCCTTAGCCCCACTGTGGCTCCCCAGAGGTACCGCTGGAGCCTTGGGCTATTAGCATCAAGAGCCTGCCTGAGAGACTAGGCAGTGTCAGATCACACATCAAGCTCGCCAGAGGATTTGGGGGTTTGTATGTAAATTGAAATAAATTCTCCAAAGCCTGGCTGCATATATTATAATGGTGTAGTGTGGCCAGGTGTGAAGTACTGACATAATGGCTAGCGATTATACATAAGTATAAGTAAAAGCGATTATACATAAGTAAAAGACCAAAGAAAGGATACAGAGTCCCCGTGGGATACATTTTATTTTTAGATTGGGAAAAGGATTTTTAAAAAAAATTAATGCCTACAATACAACATTCAAAAAACAAGTGTAAGGAAAACTGGGGGTGGAGGCTCCATGACTGGATTTTACTAGAACAGTGGGTAAATGTATTTCCATGATGGGTCAGTTTGTCACTTCACCTCGCCACGATTACTTTATGCAACTCCCCTGTATTATCGTGAAAATTGTTTAAACTTCATTAAGGCAGTTACGAATCCCGGTGTGTACTGACAGCAAGCATTATCGTCAAAGTTCGTAGCTTGCTGACTGGCTTCGGACTCTCGTGAGTTTGTTGGAGTTCTGCATTATAGTGGAGTAGTGTGCTATGCAAACTTCAAAATGTGTCTAAAAAGTTGTAACACCAACAATGCTCAGAAGACCGCCACCTCGAAGGTGACAGAGTTAGTCCTCTCTGATTTTTAACAAAGTATATGGCTCAGTCAATAGAAAATGAAGAAATTCCTCTTTAAACGTTTCTTTTGTCTCTTTAAACCCATTATTTTACACACACACACACACACACACACACACACACACACACATATATATATATATATATATAGAGAGAGAGAGAGAGAGAGAGAGAGAGAGAGAGAGAGATGTTATTGGCTTTGGGTACTGGAAAAAAGTTAAAATATTATTTCAAAACATATTCAGTAAAAGGAGCCCAATTATACAACAATGAACTTTAATCTGGCAGCCACAGAGAGTACAGCCTTGCTTGAGGAAGCTCTTTTCCCTCTATCCCTAGATGGAGTGCTTGCTGAATACCCCCGTATTCTAAGTGTCCACTTGCATCATCATAACTGATGGTGGAAATAGGTGCCAGGGTGGGTATTTTTAAGCATGTTGTATGTGGGCCGTCAGTAACAGACCAAGGGAAATGCCACATTCTGTTCCAGTTTCTTTTTTCTGCTGTTTCTAAGCATCTTTGTTCTTGCTTTTTTCATTTGTATCTGGCTATTGTGCAGTTTAGGAGTTGGGGCTTTAGGGGTTAGATTGTTTCCTCAGAAGTAGGAAATACAGTTTAGCAAGCCAAAAAAGCACCTGACCCTCAAAGAGGTCACCATATTCCTCTGCCCTTCGGGAATCTAATCTAGTCACTCAGGATTACCTGCCTAAGGGACAGAGATCACAAACAGTTTCTAGAATGTCCCCTGGGAGTCTAAGAACCACCGCCTCAGAAAGAGTCAACTGTCCAAGGGGTCTCCCTAATATGATGCTAGTCTTGAATACTCCAAAAAGGTTATTACTATTCATGTACCTTATCAATGTCTATGTACTTGTGAAAAATTACTGCAAGGTAACTCTCAAACACTTTGCAATTAAAAGAAATTGCTTACCAATTAGAAAAAGTTTCTTCTGACTGATTAAATTAGCAAATGGATTGTTTCTGAGATACAAGTGAAGCAAATTCAAGTTTATTAACATAAAGTGGGCACAACTTATTAGCTCATTGATTCCTGTTTAATGCAGTGTTTTTTTTATTCAATAAACTCGGTATCAAAGATCGAACAAGTAAATACTTCTTCCTCTTTTGTTAAAGCAATGGCAATTGTCTTTCTTTTGTAATTTATGAAAGTTTATGGAATCTGAGAAATAAGGATTGACAGGTTACATTCTTGGATTATTTCACTTCTACTTCACACCAAAAACAAAAAGGAAGAGGCAAAGTTTCAGGCTGTGTACCTAAGGGGAATATTGAAGGAATCAACCACTAATACTTGGTTTAAACGTTGCCCTTAGTGTTTAAGTCCCTTGATTAGAGAAAGGTTTGAATCCCACATGCTATAACCTTGTACACTCAGCTCCTGAAAGGGTGGTTAGTGCCTTCATGTCCCAACACTGTTTGGCTCAGAAGAAACATCTAAGTCCCTACTCAACCTTCCCCACTTTGTATTATCCTAGCCCACTTACTTCATCAGCTCCGTTTCTTGATGTGTTAATAACACCACAGAACGTGAGGAGGTGGCCTTGGACATCTCATGGATCTCAAATTGTCTAGAGGTTTTGAGTATCCTCCATTAAAAAAAAAAATTGAGCTGGGGAGACAAGCTCAAACAATAAAGTGCCTACTTTGCAATTATGAAGACCTGAAGTGGGCTCCCAGGACTATGTTAGCTCGGCATATAGTAGTGCCTACTTGTAATTAAAATGCTAAAACAGACAGCAGAGATGAGGGCATCCAGGGCCTCTCTTGCCTACTTGGCAAGTTTTTGGGGTAATGAGAGATACTGTCTTACAAAACAAAACAAACAAATAAAAAAGAGCATACCAACAGATGAACTCTGTCTGAAGAACAACACCGGAAGTTAACCTCTGGTCTACACACTCACATACACACACACACACACACACACACACACACACACACACGAAAACAACATAAAATTCTATCCAAAACCTTAGGGAGTAAAATGACTTTATAAAAACACCGTACTTGCTAAAATGTAGGAGACAGTACACAAACCAAATGGTTATTCAGGCAAATAAAAGGACTGGTGGGCTTAGGACAAAAGAAGTTTCTGGAGGCTTTACACAGCTGAAGACCCTTGCTGACAATGGAAGTCAGATATCTCTGCGGATCAGCTGAAGTGGTGCCTCCAGGTGGCAACAGAAAAACAGCATTTTTGAAATCCAAAATGTGATAATTTGATGAAAAGTTAAAAGTGTGCAAATCCATACAGTATCAAAGCTGGTCACAATTTTACATCACACAATTTAAAATTTTCATAACATCTGACCTCAGTCTTTTCTAGAGAGTTTCATACCAAAAAAGTCACCTTTTCTAATAGAACATTCCTCAAGATCTTGAAGATAAAAGCTAGAACTTTTCAAAAACATAGTGATATTTCACGAAGCATACAGTTTGCCAACTAAAATTAAAACCTTAATTTAACTGCCAGTGGTTTGACTTCGATATTTAAAGGGATTAGCCAGAATGAAAATGGCATTCGAGTCTGCATATGGTATTTTAACCACCTGAGAATTGCTGAAGCTTTTTAAAAAACAAAAAACAAACAAAAAAAAACCGAATACCTAAAGTACCAATATATTAGCACACATTATAAGTCCTAGGGAAGTCTTCCACTTATGCTGAAGGGAAAACAGAATAACTCTCAGCACAAAAGGAACCCTTCTCGATGGCAAATATAAGAAAAAGGATGGCTGTAATCTATGATGAAATTCCCAGTTCCAGAATTCAGTGTTATATGCAGAGACGAGAGTACGAAGAATTCAAAGAAGTTCTATTTTTCTTTGGGGGTTTCTGCTGCTAGGTTTAAACTCTTCAGTGTTCTCTCCGGGCTTTTTGGTTTATGATCTCTATAAGAAAGCTCCATAAAAACCAAAGTATGTATCATGGAAATGTTTATAGTGTATTCATGAGAGCTGCAAAGATAATATATACCCAAGTCTACAAACAGAATAGAAATTGGTTGACTTTCTAGAGATTTTTTCCGTTGAGCTACTCAATTTGTCCAGTGGATGAAGAAATAGACTAGCAAATTGACAAATGCAGTAGACACTCAGGATATAAGTTTCTCAAATGTTTGCTTTTCGGTACATATGGGAGGCAAAGTAATAATAATAATAACAATCACAGTAATATAGCTATTAATAGCTTTGTTCCTTGTTACCTGTTAAAGCGCTTTATCCTAGCTCATGTAATCATGAAAACAGACACCACAGAGACAATGTTGTTGCTTCTTCCATTTGGAAAATAAGGAAACTGAGGCTCAGACCGACTAAACATCTGAGGACAGAAGCATTAATTAGTAAATGTCAGAGTTGGAATTCAAAACCAAGCAGTGTTCCACCATTACCTGCACGATTAACATGGTGGCATTCTGTTTCGGTAAGGTAAGCCAATGTAAAGTATCCAGTTGTGTAACTGATATTTGTTAATTTGCTACATAAATTATGAGGTTACTGTTAGGCCCCATAGTAGAGACCTTAGAACAGGACCAGTCAATCTTGGTCTCTAGGCCTATGGACGCAGACTGTTTCTGCTTATGACTTATGTTATTAGAGTGCTTGCTAAATGAAATGAAATAGATAAATTATTATACAACGTTACCCTGAGCAACGTAGTCATTTTATGACTTAACGAGAGAAAGGGGTTGGGGGCGGGAAGACAAAGCGGTGGAGGTGTTGACTAGAATTTGTTTTCGCAACAAGCAAGCGGTTTATATCTTCGAAATCTTGACATTTGAATGTATCAAATATATATATAGCCTTAACCTAGATTTACAGTCCAGCTCAAAGTCGTGGGACTCAAGTGGTG